AATCCTGGAAAGCCCCCTGAAAGGCTAAGAAATTCTAGCGAGCTCTAGGGAAGTATGGAAAATTTTCCATGCCATTCTATGTAAATCTAGGGAATCCTAGGAAGCCCCCTGAAAATTCTAGGCAATTCTAGGGAATTCTGGTGATTTTCTAGGAGATTTCTGAATTCTAGGAGATGTTAGTGAATTCTAAGTCGAAGAGTGAATGTAATTTTTATGAAGTCTGGGGAATGTTAAGGAATATTATCAAAATTCTAGGGTATTCCAGGATATTCTAGGGTATTCTAGAGGATTCTGAAACGATCCCAGGGGATTCCGAAATGGAACGCCCGGCGAACGGAAATCCGTATCCCCGAAAATCGGCTGAACGCGCTTTCGACGTTTACGCGGCGATCCGAGGTTACGTAAACCGAAAGTTGGGGTCACAGATCGGTCGGCCGGCACTTGAGCAGATCAATTAGCCGATGCTGAACGGTTCTTTGCAGAACAATCGCACGGAACGGTCGGCCGGCACGCAGCTCGGCAGCCGCGCGCAATTGTGTTAGCGTGTCTCCCGGTTAAGCCGACGCGACGCGAATAATCGAGAGCGGAGAAACGATGATGATCCGATGCGCACACCGTGTACACCGTGGCATCGATAGCGAAGCCGGTGTCCTTGCTCTCCTAGATTGACTCGAACGAGATCGATTCCACTGCTCGTAAAGGAGAGCTCGATCTATTTCTCGACCGGGCAAGGTAGCCGCAGCGGCTCTTGTTCCCTCGCCTCCTCTCCGTCTCGTTTCAGTCTCGCTTCGACTTTCGCTAAAATTTTCGCCCATTTCCCGGAATTTTCGAACGTCCCGCTGTAGCGCAAAAAGTATCCGGAAACTGTCGAAGACATTTTGCGAACGAAAATTGTGTTAATATTATATGTCGAACATTTTTATTTGATTTTTTACAATAACGTTTTGTACGTTCATTGTGGTGTTATTAACATGGAATAAGTTGCAGAATCTATTTTTGGAAAGCATTTCTAAACAGACATACAATTGTGAAATGTTGATATATCGAATGTGCAAGTGTGAAATCAATCAGCAACTCATGGAAAATGTCAATTTCGAATGTCCATTCTTTGAGGAAAGGCAATAATTATAAACAGGCTAATTCTATAATTATAGACAGGCTAATTCTATTTGCATGTTAAAGTAAAGAATTTCCCGTGGCACAATGTCACCAATTACATTATCGAACTTTACCGAATACAATTAATTTTGTTATTTAATTAAAAATTCACTTCGTAATGTCTTTAAAACGCAGAGCGAAAATAAACATAGCGAATAACGTATGCATAGGTCGATGAAAATTGTCACTATCAAAATTAAATGTACAGTTCAAATACGTGTCTGGTATACTTATTTTCGACTGCAAACAGTTCAATTTAAAAAATGTTATTCATACTATCAATTCATAACATGGTATCGTCTCTTTGAATTCGCATAGCCGTGTTAATAATTTATTGAAATGAAAAAGAATTGGACTACCATATTGTGATCGAAACGTTCAATTAACTATCTGCATAGATTCTTTTGATAATGAAATGAGACTTTCCAACGTTTTTGGGTGCCTCTCGCTCCAAATACAGGGTGTTCGATAATTATGTTAACACTGGGAAAGGGGCGATTCCTGAGATCATTTGAAGTAATTTTTTCCTTAGCGAAAATGCAATCCGCGGCTTCGTTTAAGAGTTATTAACGAAAAACGCTGACCAATAAGAGGCCAGCTCAGTTTACGCGGGGCGGCGCAGTCAACGAGCGCGTGAAGCCCAGTTCCGCTCATTGGTTCGGCCGTCTGGCGCCAGCCGATCGCGCCTCTCATTGGCCACTGTTTTTCTTTAATAACTCGCAAACAAAGCTGCGGATTGCATTTTCGCTAAGGAAAAAGTTATTTCAAATGACCTGAGGAACCCCTCATTTCTGGAATGCGAGACATTTTTGGGACACCCTGTATAGCTCGTCAATGTATGCGTGTGCATGTATCTTATCATTCTTAAAACATGTAACATAAATGTTTAAATAACTCGAAATGAATTACTATTTAAAGTTTATGATTTCATCTGGCCCTCGCCTGAGGCTTGAAAGCTTATAAAAAAGAAGAGAAATCAATAAAAAAATTTCTCGACACGTTCTTCGAAAAGGAACACTAGTTCGATCACTGTGATCATGCGTCGTTTCTTCTTTCAATTCGCTCCAGTCCAGTTTCGACGGTCCGAGAATGCTAGCCTTCGACCGTTCCCAGATTCTTTTCACAGCGAATGCAACTCGGGGAACAGCATCGGAACAATTGGAGTCGCGCGAAGAAGCGCCGAGGCCTTATCACTGCGAGCGTCGCCGTGGGTCTCGAGAGGAAAGTCAACAGAGATTAGAAATCGTTATTTTGCTCGCTCGCTTCGGCAAACAACAGCACCGTCGCCGTTCGTCGGCCGGCTTCCAGCCGAATGCGTTTCGTGGCGCATACGCGTCTCACGCAACGATCTTCTTTAATCCAGGTTCGTCTGCTCCTTGGATTAAACGAGAAAACGTTTTCACGAATTACGAACCCTGCGATGCACAAGCATTCGTCATTAATAGTTCGCTCTCGCTGGGAAATCCTTTCTTGTTAGAAATAATTTCATTTCACGGTTGAACAAATTTTCGGACTTTGTTCAAATAAATTGTGCAGTTTTTAAGTAATATTCAATGTATAGATTTCGTCGAGGCGAGCATCGAGGTTTTTCAGTGTAATTATAGAACTTCCTAGAATTCCCTAGAAATCCTACCATACCTTCTTTTCGTACCAGGATCTGAAAGATTTACTAGTTTTTAGCTGGCGTTTTCTGGATTTTTTGAAAATGTATTAATAGTGATTTTTACATCGTTATTGATATCTAAACGAAAATTCAACAAAATTACTGATATTTAGATGGAAACTTAACAAAATCTCATACCTGCATATTTCTATATTAGAAATAATATCATATCTGTATATTTCTCTATATTAGAAATAATATACTTATCGTTTTTGTATACTAGAACTAACATCATATTTGTATACTTCTCTATCTTTTATTATTTCTAACATACTTTGATTTATCCTATCCTACACTGATGTGAATAATTATAGACTGAAAGTAATTTTTAAATTTTTAGT